AGTGTGCAAGAGAATTAACTATACAGTGAAACTTTGACAAATAGGGTATGGGAGCAGGGAATAAATTCTTCCACTTTTGTCCCCTATAAAGACATTTCTGAGACATTGTTTATATGGCTTCATGGAAGATGATTCTATGGCATCAAACAATCCGTTGTGTTCAGTGATGTCCAGCCCAATACACTTCCTTGTATTGGTTCTATCTCCTTTCCTGTCTCACCTCCCTTGTCCACTCCTGATCCTTGGTATATCCTCCCTACTTAAATCGTAGCATGTGAAACCTTGCCTCAGCCTCTGCTTTCTGAAGAAGTCAGGTTAAGAAAAGGGATATCTCTGAAGATTAAAAAAAAAAAAAAAAAGTTAAACATACAAAAACGAAAATATTCTCCAAGGAAAGATAAGTCAAAGTTTAAGCCTAACTGTAGATGAACAGCCCTTGGTACAAAGTGTCTTCTATGGGGATAAGATTTGAGCTTCAGTACTTGGTATTAAGTAGCAAAAGCTATAAAAGAGTAGTTTATAAGCCTTCTTAAATTGCCACGGGACACCTCCACTGACATTTCAGAAAACTTTTACATATAATTCAAGAGCGACAAACACTAATATCAGGATTTGGGTTGGCCCAGAGTAACCTTGTAAGATGGTGAAGGTAATATTTAACCTTTCCAGATATTCTTTCTGTGTCTTGTGCTCCTCCCCTAAGACATCCAGTGCTTATATTCTCTTTTCCCTCTCCCTTATCCTGACCTTTTAGCTAAATATTATTTTGAAGTGGACACTTTAGGTAATCTGCAACTGAGAGGTAGTCCTCTAAGAATCCCAGGAGGTTTTTGCAGACTAACTTTTAACTTAATAGACCATATTTCTAATGGTGAAATTTCTGTCATCAATCCTTGACTGGTAGAGATAAGTTTAAGGGGTGTGTGTGTGTGTGTGCGTGTGTGTGTGTGTGTGTGTGTGTGTGTGTGTGTGTGTGTGTGTGTGTTAACCACATACACATCAACAAACAAATGTTGGCAAGGATGTGGAGAAAAGAGAACCCTTATGCACTGTTGATGGGACTGCAGTCACTATGGAAAACAGTATGGAGGTTCCTCAAAAAAATTAAAAATAGAACTATCTTATGACCTAGCAATTCCACTTCTGGGTATTTATCTGAAGAAATACAAAACACTCGTTCAAAAAGATATATGCACCTCTACGTTCATTTTTTACATTATTATTTATAATGTAAAAATTTAGCATTATTTACAATAGCTAAGATATGGAAGCAACCTAAGTGCCCATCAGTATACAATTGGATAAAGAAGATATGCTGCATATGTATATATATTTATATTTATAATGGAATATATGTTTATAATGGAATATATATTTATAATAGAATATTACTCAGCCATAAAAAAGAATGAAATCTGACTATTTGCTAACAACAATGGATAGACCTAGAGGATATTATACTACGTGAAATAAGTCAGACAGAGAAAGACACCATATGATTTCATTTATTTGTGGAATCTAAAAATTAAACAAACAAAACAAAAAAATTACATTCACAATTCTTTAAGTTTCATTTATGTCTAGGACTTAGCCCAAGCTATTTTATTTCCATGTCTTTTCAGGTAATGATCTTAACTATGAGAAGAAAGAGCAAGAAAACAAAAACAAAAACAAAAAACCCTGGCTCTGTTTTTTCCCACCATATTATTATACAATTTTTAATAATAGTTGAAAGTCAGAAAAATTTTACGTGAATACCCTTCTACTTACTGCCTAGATTTTTTCATTAATATTTTACTATACTTACCTTATCACATATCTACATATCTGGCCATTCCTCTAGACACCCAATAATCCATCTTATTTTTTGATGCATTTCAAAGTAAATTGCAGATGTCACTACTCTTCCCCCTCAATAATTCCCTGGCTTGCTTTTCCTCTTAAGTAATCTGCATGTCAAGACATGCAATAAGAATTCAGCAACTGCTGCTTTAAAAATCATTCATTACTCTGGGAATCATGGCAAAGTGAAACACGTGGATGGAATGAATTCAGTTCCTCCTACTATTGTCTAGAATAGCAAGGAGGTGACTAAAGCTATGAATGTTCATTTCCTGAAAACTAAAGTTCTAACTTGTCATGTTCATAGTAAGAAAGAGCCATCAAACACATTAGTTCTTACTTAGCCACATGCTATAGTAAAACCAGCTCTCAAGTGTTTATTTTAAATACCCAAATCATTTTGCAGGGGCTTCATGTGTATAGGTAAAAGTCCTTGAAGCTATAAATCATACCTTGAACTAAGTACAAAGTTTGAGTCAGACCAAGGTAAGTTGTCTGATTGCATTCCTGACCCACAGTTACTCTTTGTGGATAAAAACAAGTTACACCATCTCTATTCTTTCTAAATTCATGATCTCCCTGACACAGCACCAGCCACTGGGTTTGTGGTTTCTCCGCCAAGTGTCTCTGACAACTTCAGCCCCAGTGCTCTCTCATGCCCACTTAGAATAGGTCTACTTACTATTGCACAGTGGAGCACTTAATTGTTTAATTATTTTGTTTAGGGCAGCCCTATCACCCTCCCATAGCTAAGTTCTTGGAAAATAAGCCCATCTTCTGAATATTTTACCCTTAGTGCTAGGTGGCTTGGCACAGCGCTAGACACACATCTAAGACTTTACAGATCTTGAAGCCTTCTTATATATGTTTTCTCATTTGAACTTAATATAATAGTAAACTGCTTGGCCTACTTGCTTCAAAAAAAAAAACTGGCTTTGGGTGCTTTTAAAGTGTTGCTCCTGGGATATGTGATCATAGCAGTTAATAACAGCCAGAATACTTTCCAGCAAGTCCGCAGGCAGTCATCATGAGAAGGGACTTAGAGACAGGGCCTTTCTGTGTCAGAGCCAGAATTCAGAAATGCTCTGCTTTTCTTGGGTAAAAGACACCCAGGGTTTTTCTTTTCAACACCCATTTGCACTGACCTCTTTTTCTGGCTTCTCAGTAAAAGGATTAAGGACTCAGGAAGCATTGGGGGAGGAAAATGGCTTGTTCAGCTGGATAGGGGTCTTAGGCGAGTCTGACATCGTGGAGCAGAAAAGACATGAAGGAACTTCCATTGCTGTTTCTGGTAGTTCTACCAACCCAAGTCCCTGTCCAACCCTGGGTCATCCCACAGCGATGTGCATGGTGGTATATCTGTTATGCACATTGAGTCAGACTATTCCCTCAAGTAAACATATCCTGGGAGTTAGCAGGACATAGGGTGCTGAAACACTGAGGCCATTCATTAATCTGAATTACCTAAATCATTTATATCAGCTTCCAGAGGGTCCAATCCTTTCTGAGAATGTAGCCCATGGCAGTATGTGGATCCTTACATGTGACACCTTGTGAGTGATTAACTGAATAATAAATACACTGATATGCTTTAAAAATGAAAATAGATTCAAGCAACAGATGAATGTGCCTTTATTTTTTCTAAATTTCCCCAGAAGAACTTCCTTCTCATTCTGAATTTTATATAATAGAGAAATCAGCTACAAATGCACTAGAAATATTGAAAATAATTTCATTGAGGCTCACAATAGGTGACAGCAACTGGGCCTCTTGGCCTGTTCCTGACCTGAGCTGGATTTAATTCCAGAACCCCGGTGGGCTACGAAGTGACCCTCTCTTCATTATCCTTATTTTTACTGTGATATTGCAGTGGTTTCAGTAAAAAAAAAAACAAACTGAAAGAAATTAGAGTCTTATCATCAAAATTGAGATATAAGGCACCCAACAAGAAGCCAATTGTCTAGAGAAGAGTGAGTCCCAGAGCTTCTACTCTTGTATCTCTTCCTTCCTCTGTCATTCTACAAGATCATTGCCTTCAATATTTCTCAGAACAGCCTCCCAGGAGTGCTCTGGAAAACAAAAAAGCGTGGAGAACAAGCAAGTGCAATGGCAGAGTAGAGGTGGGGCTGCTTTACAGGGGTCTTGGCAAAGAAGCACCTTGTGATATTCAGGAGACCACTCAATTCTCTCCTCTACATTCACACCTATGGTGGCCTTGGATTCCCATCAGAGCCTACACTGTACGATGCCTAGAGATTGAAGAGATCCCTATGGCCACTTCAGACACAGTCTATGGGTTACCAGATTAAAACCCCTGCTGCCCATTAAGATGTTGGCATGCCATGGCCAGCATGTCACAAATGGTTGCCATAACTCTAGGCATCGTGACCTCAGAAAGCCATTTCCAAAGGCAGCTAGTACAAATGTCCATTACATGCCTTCTATCTTTTATTAATTAAAATCACAACTAACAGTAGAAAGGTCCTGGTGCCCTAAGGACTTAGGTGAAAGTTTGAGGTCATGGCTATTTGGCTTCTTGTCACTAAGAGAAAAACCAAGCTTCCGCTCAAGACCAGCCAGAAATAGCAAAAAATGCTAGCATCCTGACAGTCTTATCTTTCAACCAGTCACTGCAGTGTCTGTGCATAAGCAGTTATTAAATTATTCATTCTGATTAAATGGGGAGGAAATCAGATGCAACAGGTGTGGTTCTTCCTGCTTGTTGAATGGCTTTAAAACAAGCTTTCAGAGACTGGTCACCTCGGAGAAAGCAGCAGCAGGACAAATCAGCTGCATTTTAAGCTAATTACCAAAATACTACAATATCTGTCAAGTGGGGACATTTTGTTCCAGTGTTAGTAGTCAGAGAGAACTCTGGAAAGGAAAGGAGAGTGTTCCATTAGCAATTTACTCTACTTATACCCCAAAAAAGCCTCTTGACGCAAGGCAAGGTCACATTCCAAGTGTTATTGTACCTGCTTGTAAACTGGAGTAGAATCTCATTTTAATAAGTTTAAAGAGACTTCCAAATTGCTACATTAGATCCAAATCTCATTAAACTTGAAGCCTATTGTTATAATATATTAAAATATACTGTGTTTCCTGGGTTTAAAATTCACTTGCACAAAGCAAATGTTAGGTGTACAATTCATTTGCAGATGACATGTGGGGGAAGGAAAGAAGAGATGAATGCCAAAGGATACGCCTGCCTTGTGCCAACCCATTAGAGCCAGAGAAGGTAAGTGATGCTCCATTCTTCTACAGTGACTGTAGTTGAATACAGCACAGTATCTTAAAGAAACATGACATGTTTTTCAAATGTTAGGTGCTTATGTTCTGCAATTTATAAATTGCACGGTTGTTTGTTTTTGCCCCAATTTTTCTTTCTTTTTTTCTGTCAGGAGCTCATTGTGTTAATATTAACAGCTAAAGACTACTATAGAATGAGCAAGGTTTTGAGTTGCCATTATCTATTCAGAATATAATTAAAGGTTCACTAGAAACAGTCTGTAACTGGAAGATGCTGAGTGCTCACAAAGCAACCTACCTAGATCACCTGTTTTCTCTCCCTGGCCCCAGAGAGATCCAACACCTCCACTGTCTCTAATTTCTATGGAACCTCAGTTTCCTCATCTACAAAATAAAGAACTGGGCCCCATGATCTCTAGGGCTTTTGATGTTCTGAAGTTCTAAAGTTTTATGATTCTACACACCCTAGGTCAGGGTTTTAACAGAATCCCCACATATTATAAATATTACTAAGTCACAAACTGGCATGCTTTTCCATAGGCCGCTGAGAATATTTAATGAAGCGGACAAAACACTATATGAAAAGAAAACATCTTCATTCAAAGGATGGATGACTAAAAGAATAAATATTTCTAAATGCTTTGTATGATTTTTTTCCCTCTACACTATTTCCTGTATCCACACTGATGAATAATGTTAATTTGTGAAGCTCTCTCAAGGCATGGAAATAGCCTTGTTCAGTTGTATATTAAAATGGCATTCTTCCTACATTATACTTTATGAATGGAAGGTTAATGAAATTGTGCATGTTTCACTTTTCACTCTGCAGGTTATTTTGTAATAGGGCTGAGACTGTCCTACCTTTAATTTGGTATTTTATTAAATTAAATGCATTTCATAGGAAGGATCATTTTATTCCGCTATTCTGTCTTATATTCACAAGCGAGAGGGCATGCTAAGTGCTTTCTCTTGTTGATTCTTTTAGGAGTTTCCTGTTTCCAGTGAATGTAATATAAGCCCATATTTTGCACAGAAAAAAAAATGTTATGAATTTCTTTAAATTGAAGGTCTTTAAACTGACACAGAAACTTTCTTTTGGATTCCTGTGGTTTGCTCTCATCTTATTAAAAAAAAAAAAAAGACTTTAAGCAGATTAATGGTTAACCCGATGGTTCTCAACTGGGGGGTTATTGGCACTGGGTGGACAATATTTAGTTTGCATGACTGACCCATGCATTGCAAGG